GTGTGGCCTAATTTGTGGGTGTGGCTTGGTGATCATGTGACTGGCTGGGCATGGCTTGCATGTAAATATTATAAATATTTATATAAATATTGAATTTTTTTTAATAAAAAAGAGCAACTTTTACCCAAAATCAGGCAAAGCAGGCAGGCAGGTTGAGTTGCTCACAGAATCACAGATTCACTCAAGAGATCTTTGTTTCTGCCATTGCCTACCTGAGTCTGCACTGCTTCAGTCCTAAGGGAGGTCCAGCTGTGCTTAAAAGCAAAGCCGAAGATCTAAAGCCAGAAAGCAAGAAATCCAACCGTTTCCCGCTAATCTAAATCTCCCGGCACAGCAGAAGAGCTGATGGTCGGGGGGGGGGAAAGGAAAAATACCAACTTAGCAGGCAAGTTTGCCAGGTAAGAAGTGAGTGGGCGGGAAGGATTCCCATGGGCCATTTGGGCAGTGCAGCCTGGATTAATTCCTTCTGGGGATGCTCTGGGGTGACATTTCTCTGCGGACAACCAAAATTTTCTCGTAGACCACCAGTGGGCCACAACCCACCGGTTGGTGACCACTGGACTAGATGATCTACAAGCTCCCTTCCAACTCTGATTATCTGTAATCTGTTATCTGACTACCTGTGCAAGATTCTCAATGGGCATCAATTATACATATACATATATATATAGCCTTCAGCTGAATATATATATTAATTTTTAACAGAATAAAAACAATACCAATTTGGAAAAGTCAAGAAAGTGACAAGCAAGAAAAAAAAAGGATGTAGAGAAAAGATGGAAAGGAAGAAAAAGAAACAGTGGTATTGAAGTGGCTTTTAATCTTTTTTTTTTTAATGCATTTATACGTATGTTATCTTCTCTCTCTCTAAGGTGACTTCATCACTTCCTTCTTCCCCTTGTCTGCTCTATAAACCCATAAATTGCAAGTTCATTATTATTTTTTCCAGGGTGTCACCTTTGTTCTTTGCATTTGGTCCATAATAAGAACAGCGAGAAGGAAAACACCTTGTGAAAAAATTTGCTCGCTCAATTATTTATTGCTTAATTAACATTGCTGGTTCAAAAGTTTCTTTCCCAAATAAACTCCGTGGCTGCACTTCCCAAATCTGTGGTTATCAGCCACCTCCAGGGTTTACATAAGATTATTCTCTCCTCTTTGCCAATCCCAGGATTCAATTATTCGGGTTTTATTAGTTCTGCTTCCCTAAAACTACCTGGAGACTCGGGGGAAAGTGAGGTCATTGTTTTTGAAAACAGGCACAAAGGAGAAAAAGCAAGTGCCTGGTGGGAAAAAGAACAATTTTCCTTTTTTTTTTTTTAAATCCCCTCCCTCCCCTTGGATGGAACAAAATTGATCAGCGGAATTTTCCAAGCCTGTTTGGGAGGATTTTTACTAGCAGAGGAAATAGAAAGCGAAGAAAAGGTGTTTTCCCACCCCCTGTTCATTCGAAAAAGGGAAAGGAAAGAAAGCAACGTAATTTTTTTCCACATTTGGTGCATTCATAGATGCCCAACACAAGGGAGAAACAAAATGGCTGGGCTGATCCAAGAATATTTAGTTCGGCCGGAGGGAGAAACCAGTTGTCCAGTTCACACGTTGCCCTTAATCCGTGTCAGCTTTGAGACATGTGGATTTCAACTCCTCGAAATCCCTAGCCAGCGTGGAATTCTGGGAGATGAAGTCCGCCCAGGATGGCTGGGGAAAGCTGGGAGACTAGTAAAGAAAAATATTTGTAGCTCAGGGTTGAAGTGGAGGGTCCTTGGCGCTCTCGGAACTTGGTGGTTTTCTTGCAGACGTTTCATGACCCAAACTAGCTAACATCATCAGTGCTGGAAGGGAATGGGGTTGGGGGGGGGGAGGAAGAGGAAAAGGAGGAGGAGGAGGAGGAGGAAGACTGTGAGGCCCTTGGTGCTCTCTGAGAGAGAGACATTTCATTACCAAACTAGGTAACATCCTCAGTGCTAGAAGGGAATGGGTTTTGCAGGGAGAGGAGGAGGAAGAGGAGGAGGAGGAGGAAGAAGAGGAAGAGGAGGACTGTGAGGTCCTTGGTGCTCTCTGAACTTGGTGGTTTTCTTGCAGACGTTTCATGACCCAACTAGGGAACATCCTCAGTGCTAGTCCTGATGACGTGACCAAGTTTGGGTCATGAAAAATCTGCAAGAAAATCGTCAAGCTCAGCAAGCACCAGGGACCCTCTCAAGGGAGATCCAAAGTTCTGGTTCTGGTTCTGGCTCTCCTGCCAGGCCCAGCCATTGTCAGTTGAGTCCAGCGTCCCCCTGATGGGAGAACAGTTTGTCTCTGTAGAATCCCTGGGGGTAAAAAGGGGCACCTGGCATGGCTTGAGTTGGTGACGGCCAGCTGTTTCTTCCCACCAAAAGAGAGAGAGAGAGAGAGAGAGAGGAAGTGAGCGAGGGTGTTACCAATCCCTGCCCAGTTTAACCCATGCCCATAAAAGCAAAGCGCTGGGCAGACAGCCGGGCTCTTACGAAGCAGAAAGAAATGTGAAGGCATCCATTTCCAAACAAACCCAGCCGGCTGGAAAGTGGATTAATCTGAAAATTCATCCACCGACATGCAACAAGCCATGGAGTGGAGGGAGGGGAGAGAGAGAGAGAGAGAGAGAGAGAGAGAAGGCAGAGATGACAAAATCCCCTGAATTGTCTGGTCCCAAGGAGACCCCCTTCCCAGACTTCGGACCCCTTTCGCTGCCAAGACAAAACCTCTGGGTGCATGTTTGACCCAGTCTGTCCCAAAAGATTAGCATGGCTAGTCTAGGGAAGAGAAGGACCAGGGGAGACAGGAGAGCAGCCTTCCAGTATTTGAGGGGCTGCCCCAGAGAGGAGGAAGGGGGTCAAGCTATTTTCTAAAGCACGCGAAGGCCAGACAAGGAAGAATGGATGGAAACTGATCCAGGAGAGATTCAACCTGGAAATAAGGAGGAATTTTCTGACAGGGAGAACAATCAACCAATGGAACAGAAGTTGCCCTTGGATGTTGTGGGAGCTTCATCACTGGAGACTTTCAAGAAGAGACTGGACTGCCATTTGTCAGAAATGGTGTAGGGTCTCCTGTTTGGGCAGGGGGTTGGACTAGATGACCTACAAGGTCCCTTCCAACTCTACTATTCTATATTCAATGGGACAGCTTGCCTTCAGAAGTTGTGGGAGCTTCATCCCTCTCTCTCCCTCTTTCTGTCTCCCTCTTTCTCTCTCTCTGTCTGTCTGTCTGTCTGTCTCTCTCTCTCTCTCCCCCCCCCTCTTTGTCTCTCTCTCTCTCTCTGTGTCTCTCTGTCTCTCTCTGTGTGTGTGTGTGTCTCTCTGTCTCTCTCTCTCTCCCCCTCTCTGTCTCTCTGTCTGTCTGTCTGTCTCTCTGTGTGTGTGTCTCTCT